CTCAGTCCTGGGTCTACAGCCTCAGTCCTGGGTCTACAGCCTCAGTCCTGGACCTACAGCCTCAGACCTGGATCTTCAGCCTCAGACATGGATCTACAGCCTCAGTCCTGGATCTACAGCCTCAGTCCTGGACCTACAGCCTCAGTCCTGGATCTAAAGCCTGTCCATCAATGGGACCGGATCCTTCTCTCAACACAGGCCACCTGGGGCCTTCTCACATTTTTCTTCCGCAACTATTTTTTTGTTTGAGTCGTTCTTTGCTGATGCAGGAGGGTCTAAGGACAGTGATGATCCAGGACATTTATGGACAGTGGTCATCCCACTCCCTATGGCCCAATGTCTCCTATGAGCTTGTTTTTAATATTGCCTTTCCTGATTCTGTTGTTGGTGAATCAACAACTTTGTGAAGTCCTCCTAGACGGCTGCTGTTGTGATTTAGGGCTATAAAAAATTAATTGAATTGCATTTTTGTTTTTAAAATGTCACACAGTGTTTCCCTTGAATAGTAGTTCACTTAAATAATAAAAACTCCAGAGACAGCCATGTGGATTGTGATAAAACCCTTTTATAGTGAGTAAAATCAGAAGTCTGTTTTTCCCTGTGGCTTCGGGGCGCCCTCTGGTGGCACAGTGGAGTGTTGGCAGTACATCACATTACATACACAGTTGACTGTCGAATAAGGCACTGTCCAAAAGACTAACACGTTTTACATTCATCAAATTTATACCAATCAAGTCAAACTGTACAATCTCATCATTACTTCTCCTCGGTCTGAAATTCAGAAACTTTTCTCTCTCCGTCCGTTTCATAACAAGAGAAAGAAAGCACTTTGGGTAATAAGAAAACACTAAAACAAAGCAAAAATACAAATACATTACATTTAAGTGGCTTTGTGGAGTCAAACAAGTTGGAGATTTCTTAAATGTACAAACGTTTAAACAGTTTCCAGTGCTTTGGGAGTCGATACAAGTCATGATTGAGCAACAAACACGGCACAGATTCAAAACATGAAGAGAATTTGATGAAAAAATGGGTCAAAACTTCAACAGACGTTAAAAACATTGATGAAATGAAGCTGAAAGATCATTTGAAAGAGAGGAGAGCATGAGAGTAGTGACGACAACCAAGACATAACATGGAAACAGATGGAAAAGGCTTCAATATGTGGCTGTAATTACAAAACAGTGAAGGCAGATTTGAACTAAAATAACATTTTTAACAAGATCTGGAGTACCGGCTGAACTATTGACCTCACCTTTATATAAACCGCACCAGCCACGGTTGACTTTTTGTCCAGATATAAGCCACACTTGAATATAAGCCGCAGGTTTTCATGTTGTATAGTAACTTAACCAACAGATGAAGCAAAACAAAGCCCATAGACTGTTTTAACTGCACACAACATGATTTAATGAGGAGTTTTGACGCACTTTTAACTCGGGATGATCCAGGCTAATGCTAAACAACAACATTAACTCTGAGGAGGCAAACATTAGCTCAGGTTAGCAAGTTTACTTTAACTGCTAGCTTCCATGGGTTTGGCTCGCCTCCTGCTGGGCGAAATACCAAGATTTCAGAGTTTCTTGTGCCATCTGGATAATGTGTACCTTAAAACAGGAAATGCCACGGCTTAAACTCAACTTTTATTTTCTTTAACAGTGTGACCAGTGCGGGCAATAAACAAGTGCACTCAAACATCCGAGAAATGACTGTATTTGGACTATTTTCAAATGTTTCTGATGTTGAGTTATGTTGTTGATTATGGATATTAGAGTTCCTTTTTGCGGTAAAACAAAATATTTATTGCTTTTTATGTTGAAAATCTGGTCAACCAATGCATTCACCATTAGTGCTGTGTGCCCAATATACGTCCATTTTATATCTATAGCCCTGTTTCCACCAGCGCCACTCTACGTTTCCACTGCGCCACAGTACCCGCGTGGCCCTGGTTCTATCCAGGCCGAGATGGTCCTAAAATGTCCTAAAATGTCCTAACCCCAAAAGATTTCCAGTTTTTCCCATTATTAAATAAGTTTTATTATTACTTAAGCAAACAACAAATAAAAGTATACCAAACGCTAACTTTTGGAAAGTTTAGTTTAAGGTAGACTTACTCACATTCAAAAAATAAAATGAATTCATGTGATTGGCCAAAGTGCTGCTGGAAGCCATGGTTACCAAGGAATTTACCTGGATACTGATACAAGTCAAGATACTAAAACGTAATGGAAACGCAACAAGGGTGAGTAGAGAAGAGTAGAGTAGAGTAGATGAGGGTAGAGTACATTAGAGTAGAGAGCAGGGTAGAGCAGGGTAGAGCAGAGTAGCGCTGGTGGAAACAGGGCTCTCATGTCCCCGGTGACTTGGCCTGAGAGAGGCTGTGTTCTGTGTGTGTTCAGTGTGTGTTCAGTGTGTGTTCTGTGTGTGTTCTGTGTGTGTTCTGTGTGTGTTCAGTGTGTGTTCAGTGTGTGTTCTGTGTGTGTTCTGTGTGTGTTCTGTGTGTGTTCTGTGTGTGTTCAGTGTGTGTTCAGTGTGTGTTCTGTGTGTGTTCTGTGTGTGTTCTGTGTGTGTTCAGTGTGTGTTCAGTGTGTGTTCAGTGTGTGTTCTGTGTGTGTTCAGTGTGTGTTCTGTGTGTGTTCAGTGCGTGTTCAGTGTGTTCAGTGTGTGTTCAGTGTGTGTTCAGTGTGTGTTCAGTGTGTGTTCTGTGTGTGTTCTGTGTGTGTTCTGTGTGTGTTCAGTGCGTGTTCAGTGTGTGTTCAGTGTGTGTTCAGTGTGTGTTCAGTGTGTGTTCTGTGTGTGTTCTCTGTGTGTTCTGTGTGTGTTCTGTGTGTTCTGCGTGTTCAGTGTAAAAGTCCAGATAAGAGCCGTAAACGGTGGAGAATGTGACAGAATGTGTGATAACAGATCGAGGCCTCACCTTTAAAGTGACTCGGCCATAAAACCATTTTCAATCAATCACTCGTCAGTTTACAAGACCAGAGAAAAACTGCTGTGGTTGTGTGCAAAAGAAATCAGACTGTGAAATACGTGAAGAATTGGTTGATAAACGCCATTTTAACTAAAAAATGTCGCCTCCTGACGCAAGATTTGCCAATGGAACAAGCAAACAAGATCTCCTTTCATTTAAAGCTGGGGTACCTAACTTTGAACAAAGAAAAGCCAACTATAAAATCTATCACACTCTCGTTTCTCGCTCTCAAAACAGTTTGGCGTTTTCGTTTTTTCGGCCTCTGTCACAGCTTTTACAAACAGAAACGAGAGGATTAGTTTCCCTCAGCCAATCAGCTCTCAGCCCAAAGCGTCAAAAAGTGACTCACAGGGATCTTATACATGTTTTCTTATAATAAAAGATTATCAGCTTTAAAGACATAACACAGGGAAAATATGATCATTTACTAAAACGCAAACTTTATCTGCAGCGGAGCCGAGCCTTTGCTGTGACAGGGGCAGAGCACAGATCCACATGGTCTCATAACATTGTATAGGGACTTTAAATGTACTATATATATTACACACTCAGGCGAAACTTGGAAAATTCATTTATTTTACGCATTATTTTTGACCATTAAAACTTAAAACAAAACTATTTATTTTATCATATCAGGTTTTAGGATGCAAAATAACATACTTAACATGTATTTTCTACAGAAGATTATGTAACTCCCTGTGCTCCTGTAACTCCAACCACTAGAGGGAGGTGTAGTTTTTGGGGTTTTTTTCTAAAGTTGAAAATTACCGGCTACAAACACAGCAAGAACTTGCCAAATCGAGTGCAATACTTTAGTTTTAAAAGACAGAGAACTAAGAGTGATGTCAAAGTGGTGCAATGACATCATACTGCCACAGGACTGAGACGGGAGCTTTTAGCCGGAAGGGACGGAGCTACATGTTTGTGCCAGAAGTTCCTGATATTAGCAGCATGGATGGATCTAAAAACAACTCCAGGTCTGTGATTGATGAGGAACAATGTTGCAACATGGTTAAAAGCCAAATCAATGTATTCTTACCTGATTATTTCACATTAACTTGAGCTCAGTGGAAAGATACATGTTTAGGACACAACATAAGTGCTAGAATTACTATTATGACGTATTTTTAATTTGTGGAATAAATTATGAATATCTTGGGTGTTTATTTCTGTACCTTTTTTTCTTGTGATCCTTTTCCATTGGCAAATCTTACTCCACAACGATTGACATGTTAGACAACGGAAATTAAATAAAGAGGTGTGTTTTTTCCTCATAATAAACGCCAGAAAAAGAGGGGCAAAAAATATACAACTTCTGCCAAGGCTTTAAGAACCAGAGCACTGTCCTATGACGCGTGGACCGGACCAGGTGAAGAAAAACATAAAAAGTGGCCAGTTTAAAGCTTTGGTGTGAATTTGGTGCTCTCTGTCATATATTTATAAAAATCTCTATCAACTGAAGTCAAAATGTTGCTGCCAAGTTTTTTTTTTAACAAAGTGTAGGCTGTAGGCTCAGAGTGCACCGCTGTTCAGAAGTTCGGGTTCTCAGGAGAAAAAGGACAGAGTCAGGCTGAAAAATATTGTAAAAAAAAATATTGTTATTTAACTTATATGGTTTTTCTCTTATTGGAAAGGGGTTTTCTAATCAGCAATCAGAACATTAGAAGCTGGCTGGAAAGGCATCTTAGTACAGGCATATAGGTCTGTGTATGTTTGTGTGAGCGTGTAGGTGTGTGTGTATGACCACTGGGCCCTGTGCCATTATGTGACATGAATAAAAAAGTAAATAAATTAAAGTATAATCTAACTTCTTGGCTCTCTTTGCCATACCCACCATTAGAATTATCTATGTTCCTCTCCCCACAGTTAAACCAACAGGGAGTGGAATTGACTGTGAAACAAGGACTAAAAACATTTTGTCTGAGCAGTTTGTGGATCCGACAAAATGTATTTAAAATCGAGCAGGTTTAAAATGTCAAAGTGAACCCAAAATCTTTGAACAGCGGTGCATACATGTATAGTAAAATCTCTTTCACATAACATCCCCATCCTCCATACTGAAGCTGGATCTCCGGCTCGAATCCACCGACTCCTCCGGTGACATGGCGGACAGCAGTGGGTCTCCCCCCATGGGCGACAGGGGCTCATCCATCATCAAGAAGCCCAGATCGCCTCTCCTTCCCTGGCCGTCGACTCCCACCAGATCCCCGAGGCCCACCATGCCATCGGAGAAGCCTGCAATCCCGTCTCCAAAGTCCAACGGGGAGGTATAGTCATATTGAGAGCTGCCCACGGCCGGGTACTGGATGGGGGGCTGTTGCTGGTGCATGGGCTGCTGATGGTGAAGGGCCTGGTTGTGGAGATGTGAGCCCATGTAATGCTGCTGCTGCTGTTGCTGCTGCTGCTGCTGCTGCTGCTGATGCTGCTGCTGATGCTGCTGCTGCTGCTGCTGCTGCTGCTGGCTGTGGTTGTGCTGGAGGTGTGGGTGGAGCCCCTGGGCCTGGGCGTGGTTCAGGGCCTCCTCTGGGCTCGTCTCCTGTTTGATGAAGGAGGCCATGAGGTCGGCCGGGTTCATGCCTGAGGGGGAGGAGCTGGGGAGGCCGTGGAGCCGCGCCTGCATCTCCAACTCCTGAAGGGGAAAGCACAAAGCACAGGCCGCCGTTTAGTCATGTGACATCACAGTCATCAGGTATTATGCAAAAATGCCAGTTTTGAGTTTTCAACCATGAAAAGTACCGTAGAAGTGTATGCTAATTTTTATTATTCTTATTATGCCTTACTCTATTCTCTATTCTTTACCTCTCGTCTTTGACTGTTGCACTGAGCCAAAGCAATTTCCAAGTATGTGACTTCCTGTTACTTACGTGGCAATACAAATTATTCTGACTCTGAAACAATACTGCTGCTGTTTTTGGCTCTATCCAAGATACTATCAGGAACTTCTACCACTAATCTGTTTGTATCCAATCAGCTTGTCCGCCGGTGTTTGTGTGTGTGTGTGTGTGTGTGTGTGTATGTGCGTGGTGAGTGTGTGTGTTTGGTCTGTGAGTGTATGTATGTATGTTTGGTGTCTATGTTTGGTTTGTGTGTGCGTGTGTATGTTTGGTTTGTGTGTGCATGTGTGTGTGTATGTTTGGTTTGTGTGTGTGCACGTGTGTGTGTATGTTGGGTTTGTGTGTGCATGTGTGTATGTTTGGTTTGTGTGTGCATGTGTGTGTGTATGTTTGGTTTGTGTGTGCATGTGTGTGTGTATGTTTGGTTTGTGTGTGTGCATGTGTGTGTGTTTGGGGTGTGTGTGTGTGTGCCTATGACTAGTCTTGGCTCCGCCTCCCTCCTGACAGACCTGAGATGCTGTATTCAGTTCAGCTGTGTATGTAATCATAATAATAACAATAATAACAATAATAATAATAATAATAATGCATTGGTTTTTATATAGTGCTTTTTTGGACACTCAAAGACTCTTTACATGTCATTATTCATTCACTCCGTACACAGTGGTGATAAACTTCTACAGTAGCTACAGCTGCCCTGGGGCACACTGACAGAAGCGAGGCAATCAGTCTGTGCCATCGGCCACTCAGACCACCACCAACCATACACACACACACCAGACCTTATTTCACCTGTATACCTATAGCAGCAGCTGTGTATGTAATCACCTGTATACGTAGCAGCAGCTGTTTATTGGCCATCTCCATGCGTTTGTAGTTGCCCTCCACCTCCCGCGTCCTCTGCACGTCTTTCTGCATGCGCTTTATGTACTCCACCGACGCCCGCAGGATCGTGCCCTTGTTCCAGCGCACGTCTCTACAAACGCACACACACACAGAGAGGCTGAGTACACTTGTACTGCAACGTTTATTTCACATTATGCATTACTTATAAGATTCTTTCCTGCAGGGGTTTGTTGAATAAGAGTAAATCAACAGTATATTAAGAGTGGACTGACATCACCATTGTGTTAGCCTGAATGCAAAAGAGGACGATTTGAATATAAGCTAGCTGGAGCCAATTTCCTTATATTTGTGGGCATTTTGGGGGTTCTCCGGGAGTATGGGGTTGGAGGTCCTCTGCTGAGGGCCATCCAATCCCTGTATGACCGGAGCCAGAGCTGTGTTCGCATTGCCGGCAGTAAGTCAGACCTGTTCCCGGTGCATGTTGGCCTCCGCCAGGGCTGCCCTTTGTCACCGGTTCTGTTCACTGTATTCATGGACAGAATTTCTAGGCGCAGCCAGGGGTCGGAGGGGGTCCGGTTCGGAGACCACAGGATTTCATCTCTGCTGTTTGCAGACGATGTTGTCCTGTTGGCTCCAACAAACCAGGACCTACAGCATGCACTGGGGCGGTTTGCAGCCGAGTGTGAAGCGGCTGGGATGAGAATCAGCACCTCCAAATCTGAGGCCATGGTGCTCGACCGGAAAAAGGTGCCTTGCCCTCTGCAGGTGGGTGGAGAGGTCCTTCCTCAAGTGGAGGAGTTCAAGTATCTCGGGGTCTTGTTCACGAGTGAGGGACGGATGGAGCGTGAGATTGACAGGCGGATCGGTGCAGCGTGCGCAGTGATGCGGTCGCTGTATCGGATCGTTGTGGTAAAGAGGGAGCTGAGCCGAAAGGCAAAGCTCTCGATTTACCGGTCAATCTTCGTTCCCTCCCTCACCTATGGTCATGAGCTTTGGGTAATGACCGAAAGAACGAGATCGTGGATACAAGCGGATACAAGTGGCTGGGCGCTCCCTTAGAGATAGGGTGAGGAGCTCAGTCACACGGGAGGAGCTCGGAGTAGAGCCGCTGCTTCTCCACGTCGAGAGGAACCAGTTGAGGTGGCTCGGGCATGGGGAGGTGCTCCGGGCACGTCCCAACGGGAGGAGGCCCCGGGGAAGACCTAGGACACGCTGGAGGGACTATGTCTCTCAGCTGGCCTGGGAGCGCCTTGGGGTCCCCCCGGACGAGTTGGAGGAAGTGTGTGTGGATAGGGAAGTCTGGGCGTCTCTGCTTAGACTGCTTGCTGCCCCCGCGACCCGGCAACGGATAAAGCGGAAGAAAATGGATGGATGGATGGATGGCATTTGTGGTTGCTGAGGCAAGCTGGAGTTTGTCTCGCAAATTCAGGCAATCCTTATAGCACATATCTGGATTTATTAAGTCCTAGATCTACAGCCTGAGTCCTGGATCTACAGCCTCAGTCCTAGATCTAGAGCCTCAGTCCTGGAATCCTGGATCTAAATTCTGTCCAATCACGAGAGCGGATTCCTCTCTTATGTGGGCCGTGAGTGGTTCCTTGCCGATGCAGCAGGGTCTGAGGACAGTGATGATCCAGAACATTTATGGACATGTCTGGACAGTGGTCACCCTGCTCCCTATGGATCAATGGCTCCTCTGTGTTTGTTATTATTACATTTCTTGTGGTCGAACAGTTTGATTCTCTGACCTGTTGTTGTAGTGCATGTATTGTGCAGTGAAAAACAAACTCACAGGTCATTGGTTTTGGGAATCATTGTGCCCAGCTCCTTGATACGATCGTTTATGTTGAATCTCCTCCTTCTTTCAACTACAAGACAGAAGAAAATACAATTAGAAAATAGATATTAATCAAAATTATTTTCATTTATTATTATTTCATTTACGTTTCAATACGTAAAAAGAAGAAAAACTTTTTAAAATGGAACCACCATAGAGCAACAACCAAGTGTTAGCCTTAATGAGTAAGCAGGCCCGTCCTAAGGGCTGTGCGACCTGTGCCGTCGCACAGGGCCTCGCACCACACAGGGGCCTCGCAATCTTCCTTCCTTTTATTTTATTTTATAAATACACTAGTTCAAGGGTCCCCAAAGGGCAGACTGCACTCCAAATTTGGAACCCTAAACCCCTTTCTCTGGACCTCTTTGATTTCGTTTGATCAAAAGAACATTTTTACAAGTAAAGTCAAATTTTCACCAAAAGCGATTTGTAAACAGGCAGGCGCGCGGGCAGCTATGTATGCAACGGGTCCTCCGAAAAAACTGTCAGATAACTTTAGCAGTGTCTGAGTGAGATACAAAGAAAGTAACGGGAATGATCGCAGTGTAGGAGAGATGGATACTCGCGGAGGAGGAGCAGCGAGACAGGTGTGAGCAGAGGAGCAGACCCCTTTGTGTGAGCAGAGGAGCAGACCCCTTTGTGTGAGCAGAGGAGGAGGAGGAGGATCAGCGGTGTGACAGGTGTGTGAGCGCTGCTATTGCCAATGTTTAGTCCGAATATCCACATCAAAAACATATTTTTAAAAGCATTAGCAAACACACTGTATGTCTAGCTTTAGCTAGCTGGAGTGTTTTTGTTGTGGTCAGAGTGTGTGGAGGAGGAGGTGAAGAGTATTTTGTTGTTGTCAGTGTGGAGGAGGAGGAGTGTATGTTGTCAGAGTGTGTGGAGGCATGGCAAAAACGTTATTTGATGAGAAAAAAATAATATTGACTCCGCCTCATAGCCATTTTGGCGCATTTTGCCAAAATCTAACTATTAGAAGAAAAAGACTCCTTTTGGTTCAATCTTTTGAGTTGCTCTACCATTTTGCCACAGGACGAAAGAGACATGTCAGCTAAAAAGACCGCGACCAATATTGCACGTAGAGTGTGTGTGCGTGTGTACGTGCGCGCGCCAAACGCTGCATAGGAGCGAAGACACTCGGTTACACGCGTGCTGATCTCGTCAAGCACCGCGCGAGGTGGTGCTGAATTCATGTCAAAGATTATAACAGGAAAAACTTTCCTCAGATCTGGGAAAAAAGTGTCAGGGCAGGGCCTCGCGTTTCGAGTTCGCACAGGGCCTCGCACCCCTCTTGGGACGGGCCTGTGAGTAAGAAGCTGATTCGAACATAAGATAGCTGGAGCCAATCTCCTTATATGGACTGTGTTAGCTTCACGCGCTGTAGCAGGGGCAGACATGTTGCTAAGGTGATCGCTGTAATTTCCCCCACAAATTCAGGCATCTGATTGGACAACCCTTTAATGCCCATTCAGTGTATTGGCTGATGGATATATATGAACTTAGAAACCAATCTTCTTTATTAAACCATAAACATTCACAGAACGGCCGCTCTGTTAGGTCTGTGCGTGGAAGTCGATAATGGACGAGAAAATGGTGCAACGTTCCTTGAAGCGTCTTTAAAAAGTGATAAACTTTATGTGCGGTCGCAGGTGATTAGGCCCGAGTGCCAGAGCAGCACAAATACTCAGGTTAAACATCCACCGGATTTTTCTCAGCGTCAGCGAAACCGCACGGCAGCTTTTTGACATAACATGATGTGGACCAGGGCTGAATCTGAGGCCTCCTGCGACATCAGGCTCTTGGGTGGAACCAGGAAACGGAAAACCCTCTGACTATGACGGATCCGATTCAGTTCATTTGCCATTTGCAGTAAAACCACATTGGAATACACGTGCAAGAGTGCAACAGACAAGTATATAAATGAAACTCGCTCAAAAGTACAAGAAAAAATCCCATACTGTGAAACCAGTCAACAAAAATAGATAGAGTAAGATCATAAAAACATCATGGACAAAGACAATTTTTACCTTTTAACTTATTTGCACTTTCCCTGTCTTTTTGCACAACCTGTGTGTATCTATCTATGCCAAATGTGACATGAACAACTTTGGCCTGTTCTGGAAGCGTCACGTGGCCTATCGTCCAGACGGTCTGCACCCGAACAGATACGGCACCAGTTTGTTGATGGACTTTTTACGCCATGCACCGGGTGAATGAATTCATGTCAAAGATTATAACAGGAAAAACTTTCCTCAGATCTGGGAAAAAAGTGTCAGGGCAGGGCCTCGCGTTTCGTAATTAACTCAATTTTATAGTTCGCACAGGGCCTCGCACCCCTCTTGGGACGGGCCTGTGAGTAAGAAGCTGATTCGAACATAAGATAGCTGGAGCCAATCTCCTTATATGGACTGTGTTAGCTTCACGCGCTGTAGCAGGGGCAGACATGTTGCTAAGGTGATCGCTGTAATTTCCCCCACAAATTCAGGCATCTGATTGGACAACCCTTTAATGCCCATTCAGTGTATTGGCTGATGGATATATATGAACTTAGAAACCAATCTTCTTTATTAAACCATAAACATTCACAGAACGGCCGCTCTGTTAGGTCTGTGCGTGGAAGTCGATAATGGACGAGAAAATGGTGCAACGTTCCTTGAAGCGTCTTTAAAAAGTGATAAACTTTATGTGCGGTCGCAGGTGATTAGGCCCGAGTGCCAGAGCAGCACAAATACTCAGGTTAAACATCCACCGGATTTTTCTCAGCGTCAGCGAAACCGCACGGCAGCTTTTTGACATAACATGATGTGGACCAGGGCTGAATCTGAGGCCTCCTGCGACATCAGGCTCTTGGGTGGAACCAGGAAACGGAAAACCCTCTGACTATGACGGATCCGATTCAGTTCATTTGCCATTTGCAGTAAAACCACATTGGAATACACGTGCAAGAGTGCAACAGACAAGTATATAAATGAAACTCGCTCAAAAGTACAAGAAAAAATCCCATACTGTGAAACCAGTCAACAAAAATAGATAGAGTAAGATCATAAAAACATCATGGACAAAGACAATTTTTACCTTTTAACTTATTTGCACTTTCCCTGTCTTTTTGCACAACCTGTGTGTATCTATCTATGCCAAATGTGACATGAACAACTTTGGCCTGTTCTGGAAGCGTCACGTGGCCTATCGTCCAGACGGTCTGCACCCGAACAGATACGGCACCAGTTTGTTGATGGACTTTTTACGCCATGTTGTTCAGTGCTCCCCGAGGGGGGCGTGACTGTTTACATCCGAGGCCTCTCGGCCCCCACTACCACCTTCCTCCTCCACTCCAGCACCGGGTGAGTACTGTGGTGCAAACACTGACCCCTGTCCGTCTGGCAGTGTAATACCAGTCCTGCCACTGAACGGTGCTTACTCAACCATGCATCTGGAACTTAACAAAGTAAAACAGAGTTCACTTTTTAAACCAATAGAGACTGTGTGTGTTCCTCGCACCGGCTCAGAAATGTGTTTTAATTTGAATAAACACAAATATAACAGAAGGACAGCAGTTAGACGGTCCAACTCAGGAAATCTAATTCCAATTCTTTGTAGTCAATCAACTAAACCCACTGACACTGACATTATTTTTAACCTTGCTCTGCTTAATGTCAGATCACTATGCAATAAATCCTTTTTAATTAATAATTTTATCTGTTCTTATGATCTTGACTTTATGTTTATGACTGAAACTTGGCTTGACCATAATACAGAAAATGCAGTTTTAATAGAAACAACACCACCAAATTTCAAATTTGAATCAGAAATTCGAGAAAATAAAAGAGGAGGAGGCACAGCAGCAGTTTTTAAAGATTGTATTGTCTCCCATAGAGTACCTCTTGGGAAATGTTCCTCATTTGAGTATGTCTCTTTTAAAATAGAACAAAAACAATCTTCTATTCTTATTATTGTTGTGTACAAGCCGCCACAGTCATGTCATAGTTTCACTGATCATTTCACCGAGTTGCTTTCAGTTGTGTGCACAGACTTTGATAGTTTAGTCGTCATAGGTGATTTTAATATACATGTAGATAACGTTAATGATAGATACGCGAAAGAGCTGAGCTCTGTGCTGGAAACCTTTGGTCTCACTCAGCATGTGAGTGGCCCCACCCATAGCAGAGGACACACTCTCGATCTGCTAATTACTAAAGGGGTTAATATCTCAAATGTAAATGTGGCCAATGTTGCTCTGTCAGATCATTTCTGTGTATTTTTTGATATGTGTCTCAATAGTAAAGCACGAGCTGAATCCTCAATTGTTAGAAGAAGAAGACACATAAACAAAAATACAGGTGAACTTTTCATGGGGATGATAAACTTTGATAACACGTTGTGTTCTACTGTGGATGAATTACTTAACTCTGTCACCTCTAGTGTTTTGGATGTTCTGGACACGATTGCTCCTGTAAAGGTCAAAATTGTTACAAATAAGCAAAAGGCGCCATGGACAAAAGCAGACTCTGTCAGGGCACAGAAGAGAGAGTGCCGGAGAGCCGAGCGGAAGTGGCGAAAGTCAAATCTCCAAGTTGACCATGAGATCTTCAAAGATGCATTGTGCAAGTTCAACAGTGTGCTACGTAGAACGAGGGAAACTTATTTTTTCCGAAACAATCGAAGGTTGTAGTGGCAATCTACGCGTTCTGTTCTCAACGGTAAATAAATTGACAAATCCCCCTGTTAAGATGCCATCAGAGCTTACCTCCAAAACCAAATGTAATGAGTTTGCAGAGTTTTTTAATGACAAAGTCCAAGGCATCAAAAATGCCATCACCTCCACAGTAGAAATTACAATCCAACAGCCAGTGAAGCTTTTTGGGCTGACACACTTTACACCAGTACAAAATGAAACTGTCCAAATGATAATTACAAGTCTGAGTTCTTCTACATGTAGCCTGGATGTATTACCTCCTAGATTTCTTAAATCTGTTCTGAGCAGTCTTTTACCTTCACTCACGCATATAGTAAATATGTCTCTTGAATCTGGAACATTCCCAATGGCCCTGAAAACGGCAGTCATCAGACCCCCTCCTAAAAAAGAGGAGTCTGGATGCCTTGGCACTTAAAAGTTATCGGCCCATTTCAAATCTGCCTTTCATGGGTAAAATTCTAGAAAAAGTTGTCTATCAACAACTTACAGAATTTTTAACAATCAATCACTCTTTTGATATGTTCCAGTCTGGTTTTAGACCCCACCACAGCACAGAGACCGCTCTAGTGAAGGTAACAAATGACATCAGACTTAACACTGACGCAGGAAAAGTCTCAGTTCTTATCCTGTTAGATTTGAGTGCTGCTTTCGACACTGTCGATCATGGTATCCTCATTCAGAGACTTGAGGACTGGGTTGGTGTTTCTGGAACAGCCCTAAGCTGGTTTATATCCTACCTACAGGACAGAAAGTATTTTGTGGAGATCGGAAACTGTGTCTCAGACCATCTGGCCCTGACCTGCGGAGTGCCACAGGGCTCAATCCTGGGGCCTCTCCTGTTTAATATTTACATGCTGCCTCTGGGTAGGTTAATACACAGTAATAACGTGTCCTATCACAATTACGCTGACGATACTCAGGTCTATGTGTCCCTGACAGCAGGAGAACATGGACCAGTGGACTCGCTCCTTCACTGTATCCAACAGATCAGTGATTGGATGCAAAATAACTTTCTCCAGCTAAACACAGAAAAAACTGAAATTATTGTTTTCGGACCTCAGAAACAAAGAGAGAGCGTTATCTGCCACCTCCAGTCTCTCTCCCTGAAACCCTCAACTCAGGTCAGAAATCTAGGAGTAATAATGGACTCAGACTTGAATTTCAATAGCCACATATCATCTGTGACATCATCAGCTTACTTCCACCTAAGAAACATTGCTAAAATTAAAAACATTGTGTCTAAAGCAGACTTGGAGATTCTTATCCACGCATTTGTCTCCAGTCGATTGGACTACTGCAATGGCTTGTTCACAGGTCTCTCTAAACAAGCGGTAAAACAGCTGCAGTACATCCAAAATGCTGCAGCTCGAGTCCTGACTAGAACCAGGAAGTACGACCACATTAGTCCGGTCCTCAGGTCTCTGCACTGGCTTCCTGTGGCTCAGAGAATAGATTTTAAAGTAGCTTTACTTGTGTACAAGTCTCTCCATGGCCTCGCACCAGGGTACATCCGCGACATGTTGGTGCCATATGAACCAACTCGGGCTCTGAGGAGCACAGGGACTGGACTTCTGTTAGTGCCAAGAGTCGGAACTAGACATGGGGAGGCTGCGTTTCAGATTCATGCAGCTAGAGTCTGGAACCGTCTTCCCGAGAGTGTGAGACAGGCGTCTACTCTAGCAGTTTTTAAAACTGAACTGAAAACAGTTCTTTTCAGCTGTGCATACAAGTGAATGATTTTACATTTGTTTTTATCTTTAATCTTTTTAATGCGCTATGATTATTTATGATTGTAATCCCTTGTGTGATTTTAATTTTTTACGGTTTTTAACTACTTGTGTGATTTTATATATCTTGTGCTCTTAATCTGTCTTTTTATGCTTACTTAAATTCTAATGTTTGATGATTTATGCATGATGTTATATGGGTTGTGAGGCGCTTTGCGTTGCCTTGTGTAGGAAAGGCGCTCTATAAATAAACGTTGATTGATTGATTGATTGATGTGCATTTTTCCATTGTGAGATCAATAAAGTTAATCTTATCTTATCTAATCACAACTCACAGGAACTGAATCAATATATTCAACATTATCCATGACTACTGCAACACAAAAGTTTGATTTTTATCTTGTGTATTCAGTTTGTAAAAGTCATCTACCTTGACCATGTTCAAATCCAGTCTAAAAACAGTTATGTTGAGCTGTGCAGACAACTGAAGGATTCTATCTTCACTGTTTTTAATGAACTGTGATTACTGTATTTAGGATTTGAATGCCTTGTGTGATTGCTTCTATACAAATAAATGTGCCTTACCTTGGCGCACAGGTATATTACTACCGCATACGTTGAATTGAATTAAAGAAAGTTTTTTAGAGAAATTATAACACTACTTACTACACACCATTACTACAGTAAGTTAAATACTAATAAACTTCTTAGTATAAGTACTTTAAAGTTTTGGTCAGGCCTTTCAAGGAGCAAATGACAAGCTGAAACAAGGATTTTTTATCATAGTTGGGTGTGTGTGTGTTTGTGTGTGTGTGTGTGTTTGCAAGATTGCGCATCAAACGATTAAATAGATTGAGCTGAAATTTGGTGTGTAGATGTGATGTTAGAAAGACCCTGTTACAGTGACCCGCAGCGTTGGCAGGGGTATGCGCTCTCCGAGTACATGTTCCAAAAGTTTCCATTGCCTTTTTGGTAAACTCACATTCGCCCAAACTAAGCACATGCGGATTTGTTCATGCTCAATGCAGCTCATCAATAATTCAATAGATTAAGATAGTTACTGTAATGAGAAATAATGATTATAGAGAGAGTAATTCATGTCGTGTGGAGAACAATCAGGAAATGGAATACAATCAGAATCAGAGAGAAAGAAGACTTTGGGAAAAAACAAAAAGTCTGAATAAAAGTTAAGGATCACTTGAAGAATCGTATTTTGCCGGTTTGGATCTTAGCAAGGTTCCACTAAGAGCCTCAATATGTCACAGGAGGAAGAAAAGTGAGACTACAATACATTCATTGAAAATATATACCATAATTTTGGGATTATTAATCGTAGTTTTTGCCATAGTTTGGCCAGAGCTGCGACCTTTTCTCTGGAGCGACTTATGTGGAAATGTTATTGGATTTCTGGTGCACACTGGTCTTGCACAGTTTTTCGAATGTGGTCTTACTGCAAACGGCAAATACATTCTTCAATCTTGAATCTTAGTGATTAGGAGTGACTCTGATTGTTTGGTAAACGTGTAGTATGTTGTTTATGCTAAAGGTATTTGACCGACTCTTACTGTTATATGTTCCGTTAACAAACCAGGCACGTTCTCAGTTCGTTGTTTATGAGTCATAGAACCTACACTTATCCAGCCTGTTTTGTCTTTCAAGATGAAATGTCGTGGTGTTGGATTTTAACAATTACATTTCCCCCCAAAAACGCAACTTAATCTCTAGTGCAACTTATATATGTTTTTTTCCCATTCTTTATTATGAAATTTCAGCTGTTGCGACTTAAAGCGTTTGTGTGAATGGTTGGTGGTGGTCGGGGGGGTCGATGGCACAGACTGGTTGCCTCGCTTCTGTCAGTGTGCCCCGGGGCAGCTGTGGCTACAGTAGTTTATCACCACCGGGCTTGGAGTGAAAGAATAATAACATGTGAAGCGTCTTTGAGTGTCCAAAAAAGCGTTATATAAAACCGGTGAATTATTATTATTATTATTACTCCAAAGCGATTTATAATCCCAAAAATACGGCATACAGGGATATGTATATAATATGTTCCAGTTTTCGAATGGTTTAATTCTCTGATCTGTTGTTGGTGAATCCACAACTTTGTCAAGTCCTCTGAGACGACTGCTGATGTGGTTTAGGGCTATACGCAATAAATTAGACTGAATTGAATTTGTATCATTAGCGACGGCTGCTGCTTCTTCCTGGGGTCGAAGGTGACGCTGGAGTGACTTACTGAGATTATGGTTGTCTTTCTTCTGTCTCTCTTTGGCCACGGCTCGAGCTTCTGCGCCTTTGCAAACAGAAGAAATCAGCAAACAAGGCAAAAACACAGTGAGTCAGAGAACCGAGGAGAATACATCTGCACTCTTTGGCTTTGAGAGTTCGGATCACAGTCACAAAATTTGTAAAGAAGAGGAAATTTCAGTATAAAAGTGGAGAATCACAAATGAGAGGTTGTGAATGAGTTAAAATATGGAGGATACTGGAATCGTACGTTTTGAGGTTTTTGGCACCAGATATCCAAACCCACGCAAAAACATGGCTTTACGTTTTTAACCATTTCAAAAAAATGAAAACATCTCCTGCTGTGGTTCTATAGTTAAATACAGGTCTGAATACCCAATCCAACACATGGTAAATACAACATCTGTACAGTAAGTTTCAAAAAGTGATGACAAATGTTATGGAACCATTTTAAAATCTAAATAATAAAATAATCTATGCACATTGATTAACATTTATGGACAGTGGATCTACGGACCAATGGCTCTTATGTGTTTGGTATTATTGCATTTCCTGTGTTAAAACTCTTTGATTCTCTGATCTGTGAATCCACAACTTTGGGAAGTCCTCCGAGACGACTGCAGTTGGGATTTCGGGCTAAACACACACTTCCATATTTCACTGTAGAATATTCACAAACAAGTTGTACAATCAGGACCAAAAGATGTCCTAATTAAAGTGTTTGAGGCTGTAAGTATGTCTAATTCAATTCAATTCAATGTATTCTTGTATAGCCCTAAATCACAACAGTAGTTATCTCGGAGGACTTAACAAAACCGTTAAATTCGCCAACACAAATCAGAGAATCGACAGTTCAACACAAGAAATGCAAAGATAAAACCAGATAGAGCCAATGTCTATAAATGATAATAAATGTCCATAAATGTTGCTGAATATTGAGTTGTCCTTGTAGTTAGACCCTCAAACAGTCTAACAGACCCTCCTGCATCGGCAAGGAGAAACAAGGAGGCCACAATGCGCTTTAGGTCATCTGGAGAAAATGAAAAGAGACGAAACATCCCCAGAGATTCAGCCTGAACGCATAGACGCTTCTAAACCTCCACCTCCCGTCTATCCACTCACTCTCTCCTTTTGTCAATATATTTGGGCAATAACAAGCTCTATTCTACAGTCAGTTTGAGTATTCGACATGTCCGCACCTGTCAGCTCGCGCTTGATGGTGAGGTTGGCGGGGCAGGAGTTGCTGGTCATGGCGATGCCTGGAGCCTTCATCCCAGGACCAGAGTACACGTCCAGGTGACTGCTGGACAGAGGCAGCTGCAAAAAGGAAACACAAATGAAATATATGATTCCAAAAGGTTCCTCTTGTCTTGCTGAGTTAACACTGGAAGGACCAGGGCAGTCAGTTTGACGGCTTCTTGTTTTGGAAATGTATTCGCTGCAAAAAATGATAAAGTCTGTATTAAAACAAGATTCTCCAATAGGACAAAGCCCTATTCCCCTCAAGGGACTATTTTATTGTATCTCTTTACAAACAATATAATTTTGCTTTGTCTCATTGGATAATATTGTTTTAAGGCAGATAAAATATATTTGCCAAATTTGAGCAATTTTTGACACATTTTTTTAAATATTTTTTGCAGTGTTTACTTATGTAGGTTTTTCGTCTTCATAACTTTTTCTGTTTCTATATGCAGATTATTTTAATGTCATTATATTTACAACATTATTTTGACCCTAGACTGGTCCTAGACTGGTTCAGAGCAATCTCAGCTCGGAGCAAGTGCTGGTTACCATAGCAACACTGTTTACCTGCTGCAGTTAGTATTTAGTTTTGCTGTATTTCAGTAATATCAATAATTTTTAGCATTAAAGATGATAATTATTAAAAGGTATTCACATTCATTGCTTAATTTTAATAAATGTAGATTAAAGACTACCTGGTGTTAACATGGTAAGTTAGCGAATAATATATCTAACTTGTCTGTCAAAAAAAAACACAAAAAAACAAATAAATGATTCCAGTTTTATCATGGTTTTTATTATTCTGTGTTTAGTCCCACGCTCAGCACTTTACTCAGTCAACCATTCACAAACACACTTTACTACAATGGCTCCTTTTGAAAGATTTGATAAAGATTTGAGAGATGTACTTAATCCTTTAGGCGCCAAAGAAGCAGGATTGCTACAGCAGCTCCAAAAATCCAGGACACTTTCTATACAGCGACTTGGCTTCCCACAAACATCTCCCTACATTTCCCATCATTCTCAAATCCAATTGTCTTCATGAAGCGCTTTTGATAAAATAATTGGTTTACAGTAGATTAAAAACATCGGCCATTGACCCGTTTACCCGCCCACACAACAAACCTCGTCCGATGACCCACTAACTTTCCACGCACACACCGGCTAAAGAGAGGGGTCCAACATCAAACAGAAGGAAGTACAGTCCATCCTTTAATACAATGTGGATTTTTACCACTAACTTATTTATTTTTTTCCCCAACTTTATTTATGGATTTAGGCACATAATAAACAGTAGTGCAATGTACACTATAAAGAACAATGCCAATAGAAAAACGAGAAAACAAAAAAAAGAAACATTCATAAGCAATAGTAAAAATTAGAATGAATTCCAAACGCAAAAACGAACAGACAGGTGTTCAGACAAATCCACATTCAGCATATCAGAGGCAGCCAAGAGTATAAAAAGAAATGAGAAATCAGTCTGGCCTGAAAGGAAAATCTAGATATTTCAGCAAAGAAAACAAAGGGCTCCAAAATTCAGAAAATGTAATCTCTAACAAACCACTAACTTATTTGTAATTTTCAATAAAAGCTTCAAACAGAGTCAACTATGCCTTTAACATTGTCATTGTGTGTGTGTGTCTTAATAGAATTGTCCAAAATTCACACCGTAAGAACATATGCCCATATAAGGAAATTGGCTCCAGCTGACTTATGTTCAAATAGTCCACTTCTAGACTGTCCAAGTGTAGAAATATAAAAAATATCTCTCTATTTGTATATTCGATGGGGTAATGACAAAAGGACAAGATGGCGGATACAAGTCTCCTCTGTTGGGCGCTCACTTAGAGGTGGGATGAGGAGCTCAGGGGAGAGCCGCTGCTCCTCCAGGTGGATGGGATAAGGCCTGTGCAGGTCTGGGCTTGTCGGGCCAGAGACATTATGAAGTGTGAGCAGTGTGTTTAAAGAGTGTGAGTTTTAGTGCCTTGTAAACAGAAGATAACAGAATCATTGACCATCACCTCTCTGTCGTATCTTATCTGTTTTATGAAACGTCTCAGCTCCTGAAAAATCCCCGGGAGCTGCCACCGCGCTGCCCTTTAGACGTTGTGTAAGAGTTACGGGTCTACAAGATTGGGTTTTAATTGTAATTGTAAACTTGTAATTAAAGGGGCAATGATCTGTTGTTGACCTGCTCTGGAGTTTAACACGCACTGCACTAAAACACTACCACCACTTCTTGGGTATCGTGATAGTGAGAAATCGAGGAGATTCTAAAGGTTTTACTGAACAAACAGTTACTGCTGATTCTAGCGCGAACACCTCTTCTCTGCTGGAGGTCATGGTGTGGAGCTACAGGATTTTATATTTTGTTTTATTTAGTAGTATTGGTTGTTTATTTCCTGTTCCTGGGTTGAAAGCTTCATTCAACCCCAATGTATCCCCCCCCCCTTTGGTTCAGTTATGTAATTTTACTACTTTTTTTTGCCACTAGAGCCTTTGGTGGAGGTGGAGGTGTCCAAAGTTTAGTTTTGCTTGTCCCATTAGAATTTTTTTTTTTGTTCCCAACTTTATTTATTGAACATTTTAACATTAACAGACAAACACTTCTCTCCTCTTCTTCACCTTCACAAAAAGGTGAAGAAGAAAACAGACAATACCGCCGAATAGGGGAAAAATATGAAGTGGTTAAGCAAAATAAAAACTTATTCCCCCTGTTGCAATTTAATCCTCCTCCAGGTCATGAGGACACTCAATAAAAGGATGCCAGGTTTTTTTTTTTATCTTTATTTGATTAGCAAGGTAACATACATTCAACAAACAAACAAATTGTACAGGACGAATTGGCATTGTTGTGAGGCCGTCAGAATGTGCGACAATAAAGATATATTTTGCCAAATTTTAGCAATTTCTGGCAGATTTTTTATCACTTTTTGCAGTGTTGCAGTTGATAAACGAGATTTGTGGACATTGTAGTTGGACTTTCCCAGTAAATCCTGAACGCCGTGCTGTACATAAAGGCGTAGACATTCTCGATCATGTCAGTGTGAAGTTGTGCGTTGTGCATGTGTGTGTCCTGCTACAGCGATGTTCCTTTTGTCGTTTGAGTGTTTGCTTCACGGCCTCAATGTGACGCAAAAGTTAAATCCAAACAATGCATGATCAAAGGGAAAATATTATCTGATGTTAAACCGCTCCTTGGGGATCGCCGTCTTAACACCAGAACTCCCAGAGCAGTCAATTTGACAGCTTTTAGTTTTGGAAGTGTAATTACACAGCTTTTGTACCATGTGTACATTATGGTCATTACTTACATGAAATTATCTTTGACCATTGAAATGTGACGAGTTCTACTCATGTTACACCAGAGCCTATCAGCGCTAGTTACTATGGCAACACACTGTTTACTATTGCTAAGTTAGCATTAGCCTCGTTTGCAGTATTTCAGTTTAATCTTGTGAAAACATTCTTTGGGAGAATTCCTCAGAATTACATTGGTTTGAATGAGAGCAGTCAAAATGACGGCTCCGGGAGTTCTAGTAGTAGTATTCAGAATTCTGGGAGTCCTCGTATTAAGGCACACACTGGTGGGAAAGCTGTTAAAATGGTTTTCTTTGGGACTGAAACAAAAGTGTATTTAAATGTCTGATTTTTAGCAATTGCCATTTTCTAAACTGTGAACAATTCTCAGATGGGACTCATGACACTATAGAGATGTTGGCCTTTACTCCAGTACGACATCAGAACGTTACTCTCTCGTCTCTGGGGCTTTTCAGGCAAAACAACACAAACCGACGCCGCATCCTCCACCAGAATAATAATCCGCGGCACGTTTAAATGATTGGATTAGGGCCTTGGAATATCAGGTGTTTCGTGTTACTGCTCTGTACAAGTCATAAACCCACTTCTGTTCTAGAGAAGACCGCATCAACTCATCAACAGACTTATTATATATAATTGAAGTCGTCCAGTCGATGCAAACGCCGTGTTTTATCCCCGTTTCCTCAACAACACAATCAGTCAAAGCCAGTCCTTTATATAACAAAACAAGCAGGAGCCTACTTAAAATCCTGAATATAAACACAATGAAGTTTGTTTCTTATTCTATTCAGAAAAATAGCCCTAAATCACAAGACTTTACAAAGTTGTCAATTCCTCAAAAAATATTATTATTTCATATACATCTAAACACAGGATCAGGATACACAGGATTAGTTGGAGTAGTTCTTGCTTCTTCCATGTATATATTGTTCTAAAAAGGTGCGTAATCCGTGATGCGTCTGAAGTCAGAGTTCACACAGTAGTTCAGAGATAAGCCGTGTGTTATCTTCACAGCCGAGCACGCTCCAGGACAGAGAATATCATTCACAAAATGCACATATATTCAACACATTCCGGATGTCCTTCTGCATGTTTTTCCCTGAGGGATGAGCCAGGAGCAAGTTCTCTACAGCTTAATGTAAATGTGACAAAACTCTGGTCTAACACTATGTTTAAACACTTTAGTTCTTTTAAAGATTGTTCCATTGCTCACTCCAGAAAACTGCAGCTCGAGTCCCGAAAACAACCAGGAAGTCCTCTCACATTAGTCAAATTATTGTAATCTATTCTCAGGCATTGCTGCTTAAACCTGTCTCCACATGGACCAGAGGCCACCTGCGGTACTGCAGCTTAAATCCACATAGGAGATGTCCCCATAGACCTCAGTGTTCACTAAAACGTCTCGTCCTCAGCTGACAGGAACCTACAGCTTTCACAAAGGTCAGATTTTGTGATGATTTTAGTGTCCCATTGTCATCCTTAACTTTTTTCTTTTGAAAGCCATAAATCCACACTTTTGTGCAACAGACTCTTCGAGCTCTGGCTCCGCTCTGATAGGTCAGAACGCTCACATGTCCCTTTGTGTTCTCTCTCTGGCCTCCCTCTCGGTGTTCTCTCTATCTGTGGTCTCGCCCTCTCTCTGGTCTCCCTCTCTGGTCTCCCTCTCTGGTCTCCCTCTCTGGTCTCCCTCTCTGGTCTCCCTCTCTGGTCTCCCTCTCTGGTCTCCCTCTCTGGTCTCCCTCTCTGGTCTCCCTCTCTGGTCTCCCTCTCTGGTCTCCCTCTGACCAGAGCACATCACTTCTGCTAATATTTAGTTTGGTCCATGGTGCGAGCATGAGCCAATGAGCACAGGGCGTGGAGATGGATGGCAGACATGTCAGAGACCCGGGGCTTGCATTAGTCCTTTCATTACATAATTTGATGCTTCCTCCTTTTTACGTATCCGGAAAATCCCTTTCATATTCAAAGACCTCTATCCCAAGAGGCATTCACAAAACAACCCTCCAAAACATCTACACATTCAGTTATATAAAAAAATACAAGAAATAGTACAATTATGAACAACAACAGGGCATGCCTTTGACGCCAAAATGTTCTTTGGAGTTTATTAGTTTTCCAGTCTGTAGGACCATGATCCTCCTAGATTCTGATATTTCTCTACAGGAAATGTGACCAACAAATGAGAAGAGACAGGGATTTTTATTATGCAATTAACAAACCAAACAAAAACTACAATTATTTAAGTTATTTGCAATCATAAAAGGGACTAAACACACACAAATGTTACTTGATTTTAGTTTAAATTAACATCTCATCTTTGGTCATAATTTATATAAACTGTCAGAATGTGTCGTACAAGTCCACTCGCTCTGTAACCGATTTAATGACTGGGGCCAAAGCACTCCACTTTGAGCACTTCCCTATTGGGCTCCAAAGAGCTAGAGCGTTAGCATTGTCCATCAATACACAGTCTGAACATGGGGAGTCAGTGTGAACATTTACTCTGGAAGAACAGTCTTGTGTTTTCTTGAAAACACAAGACAAACTTCTACTCTGACAATATTCAAATCCTACAAAAAGCGATTCTAGTTAACTGAGATTGTAAACACATTAAAAACTGAAAAGTACCATAAACGTCCTTTGCCATGGCGACAGATTTGGTGCTGCTTATAGATCACGGATTAGTCCTCATTTACTAAATACATAGTCCTGGTTTAGTCTCCTTTACGCCTTTATTTAGCTGCTAACTAATTTCCTATAATTCTCAGAACAAAAAAGGCGCTCATAGACCACCCACTATCTCTCCACGCCACATGTCAAAAGGTAAAAAAAAAAAAAAAAAATCACTGACACATTCCTTAACTGGCTGGTATTTGGTGGCAATCCCAGCTTTTACAACAGATTCCACAGATTCCATGGAATTTGCCACTTTAATCCCATCAGGATTAAGGCGCGCGATTCCCGGTTCACCACAATTCAATTTCATCCTCGAATCAACCCAGGAGCCCGTAATAATATTGAGTGTTGACTTTGTTCTAAATTCGGGTGTTGTTATTTGAGCAGCTGCGGCGTTGGCTCATCAATGCTTTAATCGCATCACGTGCTGATAGCAAAAAAATGCAGAAAATCAAACGGCGCAAGATACAGAGGCTGAGCTAATCAATGCTCAGACCAGACGTGGCTTTGGTTTTCAGCGAGAGAAGTCATGGCTTTACCGACACAAAACTGGATTATTTGCACAGGGGAAAAAAAGTATTTCGCAATTAGCACAAGCAGCAGTCGACATAGTGATACAAAGTGGCACAAAAACAAACTTGGACAGGACCAAATCATCCATTACTTTAAAATGGCAATGAAAGAGAATGAGACGAGAGATGTGTGATACTGTATGGACCGACAGTGACGACAAATAAAGCATATATGAAGGAATTTCCATTAAATCGGTCAAAAACTTGAACAAAATCTGAATTTGTTACTTGTTCCTTGTGAATATGGCCAAAAACCATTAACTATACTATAACTACATATACAGAGTCCAACACATGTACGTGCTGAGAAAACTGTTTTTAAGACACAAACTGAGCAGAGATGGCAAAAAATGTCAAGATTAATAGATAAAATGCATTTGTCTGGAAAAAGTAGCGATTAGAATGAGACTGGAGACCGGAGTTACAAAAGCGGAGGCAGCTATGACAATCTTAGTAATGAGTTCAGAGAAATCAGAGAAAAAGCAGCAGTAGATTTTGCAGTAAAAGTTATGCATTTGTTTGTTATTCAGGTAATATAACAACAAATATACATGTTTTTTTTTTTTTACTAATAAATAATCATGCTACATTCCTACAAGTTGAAAATGACCATTCCACTGTTCTGACAATAACCACCAATACAATTCCGCACCACAAAAATCCCTATAATAACAATTCATGAATTCAACAGGTCTACACATACGACTTACTTTTCAAGATCGCCTTTGCTCGGTAAGAAAGGGAGAGATTTAAACGAGCACTTTTACTTTTATGTAGGTCCATTTCTAATCTGTAACATAAAAGGCTCCTTTGTCTCCCATCCGCTAATCGGTCCCTTGCCGTTTCCAGTTAGCGCTCGTTAGCCCCTTCTCCACACACAGCAGTCCACTTCAATAACTCCACAAGGCTTTTCAAACTAGTTATTATTTTCTCAGCGCAAAAAATATATAGAAAAAACTTAGTGCAAATGTGAAATCTCACCAGCTGAATCTGTTCTCCTTCCAGGACCTCCACCAGGGCATAGGTTTTGTTCATATCCTTCATCCTCCAGGTCTGAAGTCCTCCTCACAGACTGCAGGGAGCTCACTGAGGCTCCTCCACTTCAGACGATAAATCAAATTGAACTTTAGCCTGTTTTTTGGCTCCTCTCTCCTCCCTCCCTCCCCTTTCTCTCTCCCCTCTCGCCTTGTCGTACCTTTAAAATATCTTGTAAACAAGTTGAACGCTGACTTATCTCTGTTTAATTGTTAATTTTTTTTAATGGCAGGCTTGGCTAAGAGATGCGCGGTTATTAAGTTGTTTTCTGCCGTACAGGCGGGATTTATGGCCGGTGTTATTTTGGTTTTCTCAATCGATTAAAGCTGAATATACAAGAAACATAGTTTAAAGCTGAGGTACAAAAGTTTTTCCCACTTTTTGCCCTGAAAAGTAAAATGTTGTGAATGGATCAGACCACACCGCACTGTCTTTATACTATTAAAAAACATGTTGTCTTTTGCGTATCTTTTTTCTTTCTTTCTTTCTTTTCTTTAGTTTAGTTTATTCGGTCAGGCATCGAAAACAAAGTTGTACAAGGATAGTTTCCACAGGAACAGAAAATATTCCAAAAAAAAAAAAAAACAAAAGAATGTATCGTACTTTACTTTACTTTACACTGACCGAAAAGGCGTCGGCTGAAGCATAAGCTTATAATGCCTGCCTTTACAACACAACATGTGCCTTTGTGTTTTTCCTCATTGGAAATACAAAAAAAAAAAAAACATCAGGCCGTTTATCCATTAAGGAGATACAGAAACAGAAAATTATTGGACAAATTTCAAGTATCTGACAAGAGTCTTATTTTTATATAATCTTTTAAAATGAAAGAGAGGTGCACTGTTTGAGTTCCTCTGTACAGTTATTCCAGAGGTCGACCCCTTTAATAGAAATGCAGGAACCCATTGTATCTGTTCTAAAATATTAAAATATTTTTTATTGAAAACTTCTCCTCCTCGGAGCTCATAATGGCTTTGTCTTATGTCAAAAATATTTAGCAGCGTTTGGGACAAAAGTTTGTTTTTAACTCTAAACATGATTTTTAGAGTATATAACTCTACAAGGTCATAAAACTTCAATGTTTTAAGGTTTGTAAATAAAGGATGAGTTGACTGGTCGTAATTCGAGAATGTGATGAGCCTTATTGTCTTTTTTTGCAGTATAGCGATGGGTTTGGTGTTTGTTTTGTAGGTATTTCCCCAAATCTCTATACAGTACGTTATATATGGCATTATTAGTGAGTTGTATATAATAAGTAAACTCTCTTTATTTAGATTATGTCTAGATTTATATAATATTGCTATTGTTTTATATAATTTAATTTTGATATAATTTATGTATGATTTCCAATTTAAATCCTCATCAATGGTTACTCCTAAAAATGTATTTTAATTTACTCGTTCTAATGGCATATTGTTCAGCGTTAAGCTAACTCGATTGTCAATTTTACGATTTGAAAATATCATGTATTTCGTTTTTTTAATGTTTAAAGATAATTTATTAATATCAAACCACATTAAACTTGTGCAACTCTCTTTCCATCATTTCCACAAGCTGATTTAAATCATGGCCAGAGCTGTACAAGGTGGTGTCATCCGCAAATAGGACACAATTCAACTTTACCGACACATTGCACAAATCATTAATGTAGATAATGAACAATTTAGGTCCTAGAATGGATCCCTGTGGAATGGTTATTTTAACCATTTCTGATTTTGTATCATTTATTTGTACGTACTGGTGCCTATTTTCGAAATAACTCTGTAGCCATGTATGCACTGGTCCTCTAAATCCGTATTTTCTTAGTTTTTGTAATAGGATGTTGTGATCTAGGGCAGGGGTCACCAACCTTTTTGAAACCAAGAGCTACTTCTCCGGTACTGATTAATGCGAAGGGCTACCAGTTTGTTACACAATTACATAAATTGCCAGAAAAAGCCAATTTGCTCAATTTACTTTTAACTCTGTTCATATTAATAATTAATTATATTTATCTTTGTGGAAACACTGATCATCTTAACGATTTCTCACAATAAATATATATAGAAACAGATAAATATCAATATGCAACATTTTTCAAATTGAACATTTTCAAACGATCACTTCTTGTGAAATCACAATATCCCATTTTAACCAACTAGCCACTAACATTTTTTAACAAATCATGAATAACTTTGCACCATGTTTATACAAATAATAACTCATGTAAAATACAAAAGTCAACTCTCGTCACACGTGATGGTGATCTCACAGGAGTTTAGAAACCAAAGCAGTCCCATTTACGCTGCTACTTTCTCCTCTTCAGAACAAAAACAACAGTGAAGCTGTTTGAGATCATTACATGTGTTTCTACTGTAGGTTTATGTGACAGTTCTAAACTCATCGTTTCAACTCATTTAACTCTGATGTTGTGAATAAAGACACAGTTCTTGTTGGAAACATAGTTATTATTAAAGTGTATTCAGCACAAACAGATAATCAATAAGTGGTAAATATCTGAGAAAAACACGAACTATAAGTGCAGTAGGAATGCAACAGACGCGATAAGCTACAACGCAAACAAGACAGGAACAGTGCAAAAGAAACAACTGCACAGTTTATAAGTTATATCAGGCTCTGCCATGAGACCAAACTACTTTTCCTTCGGTTCCTTCGAAGCACAAAGCGGTCTGCTCCGAAGTGCCTCGTCCGTGCTCCCTGCAGCCGCTCCATGCTTCCGTCCAAAACATACACACGGACCAATCACAGCGGAGCTCCTCTCACACACGGACCAATCACAGCGGAGCTTGTCTGCGGCGTTGGCCGCGTAGTATTCGAGGGTGCGTGGCAGGCTACGTAAGGGCCTTGATGTGATCCACGCGTTGCGCAAGTGACGTCACGTCACCTCCGTAAGCTCCGCGCAGCGCACTAGGCTTGAGTGCTACTATTTGAGCTATTTTTAGAACAGGCCAGCGGGCGACTCATCTGGTCCTTACGGGCGACCTGGTGCCCGCGGGCACCGCGTTGGGTATGTATCTGCATTCTGCACGGTTGGATCTAATCTAGTATACCTGGCATTACTGTTGCAGCGAAAATTAATAAATTGATACGACTTTTCTGGGTTTTAGATTCATATTTATCCGGCACGACGTACTATACCTTTGGGGAGAAAATTTTATGTGATCGTTATTACTTTTGGGGGGGAAATATTTACTTTTGCAAAATACGTTACTTTTTTAATCATTGAATAGAATAATGTAAGAATATAAAGCCAATATGCTAATATGTGATTTAAGCAAATGGTACCCTATTTTCAATCTGACAACATCTGAGTAATCTGCAGGAAATTGATATTGCTCTTCCTTGCATTAACTCATTGAATGCCACCCATTTCAGAACATTTGCCTGCCATTTCTGATGATTTTTACTGATTTTTAAAGACCCACAGAATATTGTGTACTATGACTATCTGAAATCCGACACCAGATTCTAAAAGAATGGACTGTCTACTTTCCTCAGCAAAAAGAATTTTGTTTATAGCTTTTTTCGTTCCCCTGTAATCCTCCGTCGAGTAGAGGGAAGTTTTACTGAAATCACCAGAAATCACCAGAAAGTTGAGAAAAAAGAGGCACAACATGTGCACCTACATGTTTTCAAACCATTCAGAGAGCAATGCTGCCACCTGCTGGCTCGATAAAATATGGTCTCAAGTCATCCCCATACATATTAGATACAATAGACATCTGGGAACGTGAAAATAGCGAAAAAGGCAATTGACGGATTAATGCGTCAATGACACACGACGTTACTATTTGCTTTGACGTATTTGTGCGTCAATGGGACACAATCCATGACATGACATTTGTTTGCTTTTGAATGCATTTGAATCAAAAGTTGATTTTAGTTCAGTTACTTTTAGTTACTTCTGCTTACTCTTTGCACAGACACATTGCTCACAGCCTGTCTCCTGGCCCCTGGAGGGAGCTTGGCGTGAATGATGTTCAGGTGAGACGTTACTTCATAGTATTTGCTAACATTTACTATTTTCTTGCCATTCTTTTATTAAAAGACCTTGTTCACACCTCAGGGCCTAACAAAGCAAGGGTGCTCCAACAACTGTGGCGTGTTTGTTTTGATGGTAAGACCTATTCAGTATGTTATATCTTTGCTGTTATCTGTAAAATGTTTGCTTGCTACATTAAAAACAAATTATATGTATTGGAAAATTGTATCCTGGGGAAATATGCATGACATTAGTACATTAACCAGTACCTCTTGACTTACAGTACACGCTGTACATTGTAATGGGGGCCAATTGTGACTTCAGAGAGGTATGTGAAAATTGTGACACATTACGCTTAGTATACAACTTATCATTCCTGAACACATATTTGAATCTTCCTTTCTTTTTTCAAAGGAAAACATGCTGCAAATTAGGAGATGGTGGTGTCTTGTCCTCCTACAGAACTTCCCCATGCCGTAAGTGCCCTCATGATCACACTTTTGAATCAGATCCTTTTAAATACTCACGGTCAACAGACCAACATGAATGTTTTCATAGTAAATTAATGTTGTCATTACATCATCAAGGTCTAAGGAAACCAGATTGCAGGAAAGAAAAAGACAGAGAAAGCAAAAAGGAAAACAGGTGAGAGTTGATTAATTTGTCCTGTAGTCAAACTATTGCTTGCAGACTAAAGCATAATCCCCCCCATTTATTTCAGGATCTGGAAGTGGTCCCTCCAAAAAGTATTCGGCTTTCAGAATCTGTCTCTGAAGCATCAGGTATTGTTCAAAACAGTATTATTGTACACAACCCCCAAGGTTGTAGAGATGGGATGTGACGTAGCTGGTTTTGCTGTAATTTCTCAATTTTCATTAAACCAGTATACTTAAAATAAGCTACTGATCTTTTTTAGAACTTGCATTGTTATTATACCTTTAAGAACCATAATCTGTTTCCTTTCTAGCAAAGGCTGAGAGCTTGCCGGAAGTGGGAACTGGGAACGGAGTATGTTACCCGTTGTGAGCTTTTCTTATTTCACTGTTTGCTGCCTTCTTCAACCTCTATTTTAATATTCATTTTCTTAATTTTTCATTAGGAGGATTCCCTGCTTATGGACACCTTAACGGCAGCAAGGTGGTGTGGCACAAGATCCTTCAAGGGAAAACTTTACCTTCCCCAGGTCATCACCATGAACAAGGAAGATTCCTTGAGGGCAGTGGAAATGCTGCGCATGTGTGATGGCCTGGATGAAGAGTATAAAGAAGACCTCAGTGAACCGTTCATGTTCATGTTTAGTTTGCAGGCAGACTATGAGGAGTTCTGCAAGGAAATGATAGACAAAAGGCAGCTGCAGGTGTTTTCCGGCTTTGAAATGAGATAATTTTCTGCTCACACATGCTGCATTTCTTTGCATTTTCACTTTGTTTTGGTTCTCCTAGTGTGGTTTTTGGTGATTTTGTTTGTACTTTTTTTATACCTGTGTTCCGGTTATGGCTTTTGTTTGTGTTATAAAATTTACCTTTTTGAAACCTCAAGTCTGCATCCTTGGGTCCACTGTCTCGCTACCCCACCTCAAACCTCGGCATGTTTTAAGAAGTGTCAGTGGCACAATTCAGTCTCTGTTCTCCTTAATGTAGCTGATATAATTGAGTGGATACATTTATATAAGAATTTTTTTTTTTTTAAATGAAGGCAGCATGGATAAAAAATAATGGACAGTAAAAAAATAAGGCTTTTGACAAGTTGAAAGTAGAAGCCTGATATTAAATGTTGATTTCACTTCACTGTTCTAGTTCAGTGGGAGCTGAACCTCATTAAAAAGTTGTGTGTAAAGTTGTGAGGGCTCATGGAAATGTAATCATATTACTATTATTTTAGTATCATTTATTTTATGAGACAAGAATGCATATAGAATATTATGTAACCTTACTATTATGTAAGCTGGTATATACATTTGAGACAAAAAGAAACAGGTTTTACCAAAGATTTACATTTTGACACCAGATGTGATCCTGATATAAATAACAATGAATGGTGTCCCATACAAAAGCTTTTTATATTATTACAAGCTTAGGTGTAACATCAGAATCGGTCAGAATCAGGTGCAATAATAAATAATGGTACCAAAAATAGTTTATAAATATACATAATATACAAAGGAGTAGAAGAATGAAAAGCATATCGGGACCGATAAATATTAATTATTTTTTTAAATCATCAACTTGATGATTTTACTCTTGATCAAGATTAAAATCAGGGTAAAATGAAAAAAAAAAAACGCTTCCGTTAAAAAAAAGAGAAAAAAAAGAAGCTTCCGCGGTGGGCGGAGTCAAACGTTTGACTCCGCCCACGTTGAGCTCCGCCCCGATCTGCGGACTGCAGTCAGCGGTATATGGCCTGAAGCAGCTGCTGGAAACCGTCCACCTCTTTGCTGCCCTCTGCTGCCCTCTCCTGGAACAAAACAGAACAGCGCCATGTATGATATATTCCATACAAATATGTACCAATAAACTTTGTAGGACACGAGTAGAAATTCTCATGTGCTTTCTGCTTGAAATACCTAGAAACTTCAATCATTCTTTAAATCCTGAAATTAAAACTCTCAACTTTACACTTTTAATAAAAACTATTCCCATTTTCGCCTCTTTACAGACTGTTAAAATCATGTTGCACAAGACAGCGCTAGTGTTTTCCAAAGAGCACAGACAGATATGGGGTGTCCAAACTTTCTTCATCAGGGGCCCTATATTCAAACAGACTAATGAACTGGGGCACCGAACTATAGTCTCACATCATACATGATGTTTGTCCCAACAGAAAAGAGTCATGTGACAGTGAAATGTTGTGAACAATCAAACCACAATGTGCTACCACCATATTATTAGAAAACAGTGTATCTTTTGCCCTGTCAATCACTATTTGACTCTTTGGGCTGGAGCTGATCGGCTGAATGAGGGCGGTACTCTATTTTTCACCTTTAAACCAAGAATACATGCATGAGAAAACTAGTGATAGATATGAGAGTGAGAGAGGAACCAGAGAGAGACCTGAGAGGAACCAGAGAGAGAGACCTGAGAGGAACCAGAGAGAGAGACCTGAGAGGAACTAGAGAGAGAGACCAGAGAGGAACTAGAGAGAGAGACCTGAGAGGAACTAGAGAGAGAGACCAGAGAGGAACTAGAGAGAGAGACCTGAGAGGAACTAGAGAGAGAGACCAGAGAGGAACTAGAGAGAGAGACCAGAGAGGAACTAGAGAGAGAGACCTGAGAGGAACTAGAGAGAGAGACCAGAGAGGAACTAGAGAGAGAGACCTGAGAGGAACTAGAGAGAGAGACCTGAGAGGAACTAGAGAGAGAGACCTGAGAGGAACTAGAGAGAGAGACCTGAGAGGAACTAGAGAGAGAGACCAGAGAGGAACTAGAGAGAGAGACCAGAGAGAGAATCTATTAGTACCACAGTGGGGATGTTGCCGCGCTCAGAGCACGCTAAATATACATATAAGTAGCTGTAAATTCAAATCGTCCCCAAACCACTTCCTAAATTAGTTCAGAACGGTTTAAAGGTCATCGCTGACGTCACCAAACGCTTACGCCACGGATCTTTAATAACACGGGTCACGAGCAGAAATCGCATATTATAATAGTGCTGTATTCTTAAATAAACTTTAGAGTTCAGACGCAAAACGTTATCTATTGCAATATTTCCTTTGACCAGCAGAGGGGGTGCACCGTTCCTGGAGGTACTGCAATACCAGGTCGATGCGTGGAGTGGACGGAGCAAGCCCCTATTCCATCTCCCAGTTCCAAAAATCAATTTAATATATGGTCCCCGGGTAGGGGACGTATCAGATATTAAACTGATAAGAACAGATACTACACTTGATCTTAGCCAAAAGGCCGAGAAGCGATAACTACAAACTGTCCGCGGGAGGGAACACTTTCTCCGCCAGGACGAGCTCAGTCACGGTGCAGAACTCTTGTCCAGAAGCTGATCATGTTCACAGGAATCAGAGTCAGTTTATAGAGGACAAGCTTATAATAGCTTTGGTATAAGTGATATCTGCTTTTGAAACTGGATATTGTAGACATAAACTTCAGTGTTTTATTGTGGGAGGAGCTACATATTGACAAAGTATTACATTCATACTTGGAATTTCAGAATGACGGTTTGGGAACTGCAATTTTCCTGTATCAATATATACCATTTTTATCCACTGTATTACTTGTATCATGGTGCCAACCGTATTCTGAACAGTTAAGATCTTATTTCCGGTATGTTACGGGGATCTGTCACAGGGGGGCGCCATGGTGCAGAACATTCAGCCTCGTTCTTTTGTCAATAAAGATCCATGTGTAAACTGCAGTGATGTTTCATGAGGATGCCGTGTGGACAGGGACAGTGCAACATTCTGGATATATAGATGATATTTTATTGATCCCAAATTTTATTTATAAAGCGCTTTTCATACAAAACATGCAACACAAAGGGCTTTACAGTTTGGTTAAAAACAATCCCGCCGGCCCATGACTCGCACCCAGCAGACCCACCCCAAACCACACACGCAGACAAACACACATGACGAACTCACGCCTTCTCACACACCCACGCTCACAAACTCACACACTCATGGTGCTTTCAGACCGGGACAGTCGTTGCGTCTGCGTTCAATGCAAAGTCAATGGGGAGTCGCGTTTCAGCGTCGCATTGCACGGACCTCTCGGCACACGCGCACGGACCGCCCAGTAGAAACGCACGGACTTGGCGGGAAAGTCAAAGGGGAGGAGAAGGAGCGGACAATAAACGCCCACAGGAGATGGGTCCCGCTCAACTTTTCCTCGAGATGTTCGTGCAGCGACCAATCAGAGAGCACGCACACCACTGACGTAATCACGCCACTACACAGCGTATATTTTCCCCATTGTGAGCCAGGAACCGGTCATTTAAACATGGAGGATCAGGCTGTGGACAGTCTCATTGTCGCTGTTACAAACTTACACACACACACGCA